AACATACCTATTTTGTATAATATGGGAACGCTGGTACAAGTTACAAGATAAATGAAAAAATACCATCTGAATATACCTGGCATCAATGACATAAGATAGGCAGGGAGTGGCAAGATAGAGCCTGATCGTGCTATGGTCTTAGGAAGAGGAACATACAAATGTGATATAGGAATTACCCTGGGTAACCTCACAGTGAAGAACCTGTGGCTTGGGGAAGACAGACTAGTAAGAGCAGCAAACAAAACATGTCAAGTGTACAATAATCCAAGTATATGCACTGACAACTCAGCAGTTGGCAGTGAAAATAATGCATTCTGGGAGCAGGTGCAGCAAGTATCGGATGATGTGCCTAATCATGATATCAAGCTGATGATAGGCAACTTCAGTGCACAGTTGGCAGTAACTCTACTGGCTGGGAAGGAATCATAGGCAGTGATGGAATGTATATTAACTAATAATGGCAAATGGCTCTTAAATGTCTGTAGCACAAATACCCCAATCAATGATAGACATCAGTCTTTTCCAACACAAGAGAATAAAGAAGAAATGCAGGCAAAATAGAAGAACCTGGGTTCAGGAGAAGGCTGCAGAGGCAGAAGAAAGAGCACAGAGGGGAGATTTCAAGCAGCTCCATAGAATAGTCAAATACATCTCAGGAAGAACCAGATTGTCACAGGTGGTGCCCAGCAGGGATTCTCATGAACCTGTTGAAAATGCATAAAGAACAAGGCAATCATTCTATACTAACCTGACCAAAGTCAATGATCACAAAGCTTGGTGAGAAATTCCATTGGTAAGCTAGAAATAGAAGGGGGACAAATAACATCTAATGAAATAACAGCATTTCAGTCACCAAAGTTCTTAAACGGGAGAGATTCTGGGGTTGACAGAATTCAATCAGCACTAATAAAGTCTGGAGGGAAAATTCTGACTGAACAGCTAACAAAACTCTGTAATGAAATATAGACAAGTTAAGGTAACAGGTGCAACAAAACTGGAAATATGGTACCACTGTGGCACTGCCAAAAAGTCTGATCTTATTCAGTGCACAAGCTGAAGAGGAATTGTACGGCTAACAATCCCAGGAAATAATTGGCTACCTTTATGCTGAATAGGATGAAGGTGGCAGTGAATGAAATATTACAAGCCTGGATTCCATCCAGATAGTTCCTGCTGTGAATTGATACTCACTCTTTAACAGATCATTGAAAAAGCTACTGGTTGGCAACTAATACTCCATTTTAATTAACTCTCTCTAGTTTAAAGAAAGCATTTAATAGAGTCCACAGAGAACCCTGGGGAATATTGCTAGAAATTATGAGATACCAACAAGCTTATCAACATCATATGCTGGAAGGAGACCTAAATTAAGAGGAGATACAGGCCTACATGTTTCAATATTGTGAGTGGTGTCTAACAAGGGTATGTTTTATCACCAAACCTCTTTGCATTAGTAATAGATTGGGTGATGAAGCAAGCAACAAAAGGTATCATGGATTCTGTAAAATGGGTTAGCAGAGATGAATTACATTATCTTAACTTTGCTGATGACATTGCTTTATTAAGCATGATGGGGAACTGAAGGATTACCCTTACATCAGAGGTAGAACAGGAAGCATAAAAAAATTGGATTGAAAGTAAATGCATAGAAAACCAAGATTATGAAGGTAGGAAACTGAACAACAGATTCAAAGATGTACACTGATGGAAAAGAAATTGAAAAGTTGAAAGAGTTCAGCTATGTGAGGAATGTGTGATGACATTTAAAGGAGGCTGTGATGAAGATGATATTACAAGATTAGGAAAAGAAACACCACTTTTGGAAATATGACCCATAACCATTCTGATAGAGATCTCTACTCCAAACTAAGGATCAGATTATATCATACAATTATACTGAGCATGCTACTGTGGAGAGCAGAGACTTTGCCAATGAGAGTTGCTAAAAGAAACTGAAACTGAAAGCTGCCCAACACAAATGGCTAAGGAAGACACTACACATTTCATGAGCAGACAAAATAACAAATGAGAGAGAGCTTACAGAGCAGGACATGCTAGCAAAGAAAGAAGACACATGATGTGGTAAAATGGGAGAACATAACATAAGAACATAAGAAGAGACATGCTAAGCAAGCACTGAATTGGTTACCTGAGTAAAGAAATAGAACATGAGAAAAATCAAGGAAGCACTTGCAAGACAGAGACAGAGGATGTAGCATACGTTGGCATTACCTCAGAAGAAATACAGCAGAGGAATTAAACAGCTTGATGTGTCTGTGGCACTGGAGGAACTAAGGTCTAAGGCTCCACTTACATATTAAGAGTTATGTACCAAAGTTGTTCACTTTCACTGTGTAGTATGTAGTTATACTGCAGAACCAGCTTGACTGTAAGCACTTACTTGATGCAACAATATAGGCAGTCCCCGGGTTACGTACAAGATAGGGACTGTAGGTTTGTTCTTAAGTTGAATTTGTATGTAAGTCGGAACTGGTACATATTGTACCCCAGGTGTCCCCGATTCAGCTGCTGCTGAAACTGACCAGCGGCTGACTACAGGAAGCCCGAGGCAGAGCTGCTCTGCCCAGGGCTTCCTGGAATCAGCCGCTGATCTGTTTCAGCAGCAGCTGACTTGGGGACCCCTGGGGGAGAGCAGCTGGGGGGCCCCCACGGGGGGGCCCCCGCGCGCGGGGGGGGCGG